TGTTACACTCTCCCCCATTGAGATTGAGAGCGTTTACAGTTCCAATCGATTATTGCCTCAACGGGGCTCGCGTGTCCGCTAGACACTATAACTTGGTTCGTTGGAACAAAACGACTTCCGTTCTCAATGAGCCCTGTGTCAACGTCACTGAAGTCACCAAGTCTCGCTGGGTCTTACAGCGCACACGGGCAGAGCCCAACTTCGTCTCCCGCACGTGGTGCGATTTCGGACAGTGCACCCGCGGCATCGAAGGATGTAAACCCTAGGCTCAATGAAGACGAGCGTCGCGCTCCGCGCACGCTATCAGTGACGAGTGACCTCACTGAAGATGTGGGGGTGTTCGACTACGAGTCTGACACTTCTTTTCCCGGGTGAGATGATGAGGAAGGCGAGCCGCGCCTTGCGGACTCCATGTCCACGTGGTGTCATCACCAAAAACCTCGATGAGTCACAGAAGCGGCAGCTTGATGCTGCCCATAAGTCTAAAGTGCTCCCATCCACGGCCGGTCATTGACCCTCGTGTGGAATATGGCTTTCGCCCGAAGGATCCCGCTGTGGAAGCGAAGGACGTGGTAACTCCATCGTTACCCCTCCACATCATCGGGCCCCCGGCCATTACGGACGATGAGTATGCCGAACCTCTTCGAGCTCGTTTCTTAGTCCACAAGAATTTCCATTTGAAGCTTATCGCGCTCGTCTGCGTGCTCAACGAGGTGGCTCTCGTGTACCCACAATGCGGACAATACCTGTAGGGCTCGCCCCTGGCGAAAGCGCTACAGATGACGAAGCGCTCTATCATCGATGGGTGCAACGGCACCGGAAATTTTTCTCACTGAATAACTTACAGTTGACCCACAAGGAAGTGGATGTGCGTGTGGAGCGACACCTCCACGTTTGGCAAACTTAAGGCACGCCGTCGACCTCCTTCGGATTGTCGCCCTGCGACGTATGGGTCAGCCCCTAACGCTCCCGCGAGCTCTAAGTCTGCGACCGCAAGAGTTCAGGGCCACTGCTTGAAATCAGCTCATGGCCCTTCTACTTCCCTGGCTATTGCCGGAAAGCGTGGGGCGTCCTGATCTTTCTGATCAAAAGCATCCGCAGCGTCTGTGGTGACGACCGGGTCGTCCGCCGTCCAGTGACTCGTGTGATGCTCTTCGAGCCCTTGAGGACGAGGTCCTTCGTGATCGGAGCTCCGCTGAGCGTCATGCTGAAATAGCATATCGCTGTGCGGATGCTCTTAGGGGTTTATGCACGTCGTGCGCCGGCTGCCTCACCTTAAGGACTACCGCGCTCTGTCGGAGCGACTTGTAGCCGTGGAGCAGGCGAATGCGTCGCTGCATGTGACGGTGGAGCACTTGGCGCCATTGGAAATGAAGGTTGTTGCACTCCGTGCTCAGAACCAGTTGTTGGTTCAGTATTCTGGTGGCTGAGGGCCCGTGGGATCCGTCCCGGCGCCAACGCTTCCGCATTCACTTGCACCGGATCCCGGTACGGCTTGAGCAAGCCCACGTAAAACACCGGGTGGGTGCGCTTGAGTTTTAGAAGGTTAAGCGTATACATTAGGCTTCGCTTGGCCACAACCTTAAACGGTCCGATAAACCGTGGACGAAGCGTCGTCCAAAAGATAGCAGAGGCTGCTTGTATAGACAGGTTTTTCGAGTTTAATGAAACCATGTCCCCGACCTTAGAGCTCTCTACTTTGCCTCTACCTTTTTCATCTGCATACTCTTTCTGCAGGTCTTGGCTTTCAGTCTTCGCATCGCAAACGTGTCGTAGGACACTCAGTATGGTAGTCAAGAAGTCATTTGATATCTTTACGGATGGTGAGGGGGCTGACATCAGCTAACCGTTCGGCTATTCCTCCCCCACCAAGCCCTGAGCCATGGGATAACGGCGTCAGTGTAAGACGCGAGGGTGAACCAGCCCGTTCAAGTAGAACGACGTGTAGCCGGTAGATGAACGCACTGCATTGTTCAGCGCAAACCCTACGAGTGGCAACATGGCGCTCCAGCACCTCGGCGTCTCAGCACGGACGCTGCGAAGATTTCTTCGATGACGCGATTAACCCTTTCGCTTTGACCATCGGTCTGCGGATGTTCCGCTGTCGACATATCCAACTTGGTGCCTAGCACCTTGAAGATAGTCGACCAAAAAT